GCCCTCGACAACTGCCCCGCTGAGAGGCCGTCCGCAGCACGAATCTCATAATCTCCCGACCCCCCCACCATTCCCGAACGCACCTGGCGACAGCATCACCCCCGTGGACGATGAGATCCAATTGGGGGCAGGTGGCCCACGCGGGGTCAATCGAGGCCCCTAGGCTACATTTTCCTAACGACTTGGCCCGCAACCCTCGACCTGCGCGCGTCTTTCGCAGAGAGGGCCACGACGTCCCTGCCGAACGCGATGATGGTTTACTGGCCAATGACAAAAAAAACAACCTGGTTTCGGTTTCAGCTTTATCTCGCATGCGTTTGATGTGCGGCATCCTCCTGAGGGCAGTGGCCCAACGGGCCCTTCGCTCAGCAAGCCTGGGACCCCTGGGGGCCCTGTAACTCCGCTGCCTGCGGGGGGCCACCGACAAGTCAACCCCCAGGTAGGCCACCTCCCGAACCAAGGCAAAACCGTGCACCCCGAGGGCTCGCGGAGACGAATCCACTACCTGCTGCGAGTCCGTCGTGAAACAACCTTTCTTCAACGCGATGGAGGGCCCCAGCCTGTTGGAGGACGCCTCGACCAACTGGCTGGCGACGCCCCTTAAAAGGTTGAGGCGCTCGGCAGGCACCGCGCGGTGCGCGCCAATGGCCAAGTCCTCGACATGGATGGTGAAGCTGGCCCTTGAAATCCCCTTCACCCCCTCCACCGTCGGTGACATGTAGGCATTTGCATAAAAAAGCTGCCGCGCTAGACCCCGCTACCCCCCCCCCCCCCCCGGTCGGGCGCAGCCCCGGGGAGTGCACCCTTCGCACTGTGAGAACACGTGGCCAGCTGTGGCTGTCCAGGGCAAGGCGGAGGCTACGCAGCGGGCAAGCGGCCATGCTGCCCGCGACCCAGAGCTGCCCGCGGCACACGCGCCCATAGCACTTTTTCAAATCGCGCAAGAGCGCACTGGCAGCCTTACCTGAATCGTCGGCGAGGACAGTCCTAACAGCTCGGCGCCAAACCCCGTCGGTAGTTGATCTCCCCAGGCCCGCGCTGAACGCCTCGAGGCGCCTCGCGAAGCTCTCCCAGACATTGCAATTCCGATTCTGGACCTTGGAAACCATCCTGGAGCAGCTCTGGAAGAAGCCGACGGGCCTCCGACCCGATTCAGGTATCTCGAACAGCTGGGCCAGGAAGGCACGCAACTGAGACGGACCTTCCCCCAGGCCACCTGGGCGGAGAGAGGAGGAGCGACATCGCATTGAGCGCTTCGGGGCACATGGAGCTGAAGCGCCTTGGGTGGGCCCCGTCCGCGGCGACGGTGCGTCTCCTGAACGCGTTTGATATCTCCCCGAGGCCCTTGCCTGCAGGGGCAGCAGGCGCGCAATCAGAATGAGGAAGATGCGAAACTGGACTGACTGGCGGCTAGGCTGAAGCCTTCGGGCCAAAATCCGCGACTCTCGCCGCGCGTGAAACCTGGCGCTAGACAAGCTGGCGTCTTCGCCCTCCGGTGCCCTCAAGATGCCCCCCTTGAAGTTGGTGGCCGGCCCGGCGCGCGCGCGGGCCCATCGGGCCCCTCCCTCCAGAGCCCCCCGGCACCGCGATGTCCAGGACCCGCTCCGAATACTTGCATCACTCTTTAAAACAATGAACCCAGCATCCTCGAGACCCGAGCCCAAGCAGCCAACTCTTCCAGAATCGCGCCCCAGGGTCGTCTCTTGAGTCTCCAAATCCCACGGCCGAGATACTTCAAAATTCGTCTCCGTAAAACCTCGCGCTCAGGCCAGCGTCGACGAAATTGAAGGTGGAGGCCACTAGCAGCAACTAGTATCACGCGGACACAATACTGCGAGCTGTCGGGGCCGAGCCTTTCTCGCATCAGACTGCCACGCCCCCACGGGCGACGAGCAACCCAGCCCATCGCCCTCGATATGGATGTGCACGGGCTGCTACGCGCGATGAGAAGCTGGGAAGGCGAGACCTGCGCAGACTTGCACGGCGCGCCCCCGTTTCAGAGTCTGTCAGCGCCACCGGCTTGGAAAAGGCTCTCAAGCTCCGACCGCACTCGGCTAACCCATTCTTCGAACACTCAATCTTGGAGCGTTTGAAACTCAGCTGCCAGCTCAGCAGAGGCAGGGTGTAGCAGTCCAGGTTGGGCCTGACATGCCTCCGAGGGCCTTGAGAGGGAGCCCAGGAGGCCCCGGCAGTCGGGGGGGCAGGATTGGACCCCGCAGGTTTGGAGACCCCACCTCACGAGACTTGCGCAGTCTGAAAACTTCGAGCCCTTGGGCGCCCTCGACGCCGCCTAGCTAGACAGGTCGGCGCGGCGGGGCATAAACTCCGAAAACAACTCGGCAACTGTGGGCGCCATAGACCAGCACCCGGCTGCAGATGAAGAAATCGATCATAGACGAGCGGTCGCCCTTAACAAGTGCAGGCGCGCTTGGTCTGCAAACTACTCCACCGAATCTGCCTGGCGCCAGCGCGCCCTCCAAAATGTCGGGGCCGGGGGCGCAATCCCCCCCCCCCCCCCCCGGCCACATTCGGAGCCCCTGTCTCCATTGTTTGCCTCCCCAGGGCCACGTTTAGCCAGGTGCTCGCAGGCCCCGGCCCCGTGCCAGATACCCAATAGCTCGAATACAGGCTCACGAGTTCAGGGGCCATGCAGAAGCCCCCGCGGGGATAAAATGCCAAGGCTGCGGGGGTCCATCCAAAGCTCTCACTTCCCAGCAATGACGCCTACACCCCCACTCGGATATCCAGCAGGCCCTAGCAAGCATGGCGCCCAGGAAGAAGCCCAGCCCCTCCTACTGAGCTTATATCGGGTCTCTAGTGTGCCGATCAGGTTCAGCTTGTGCTCCCGCGCAACAATATTAGACGCAATGCATCTGGACAGAAAAATGATCGGACTGCACCTTGGTTTCCCACTCGCTTTGCTGTGAGAGCGGGGGGGCGGGACCCGAGACAACAACGGAGAGAGCGGCTCCGCCCTTTGCCCCGTCCCCCCTCAGCATTCAGACGTTCGGGCGGCTCCGAAGGCCTCTCCACGGCAGCGTCGGCGGCTGGCGGGGGAGACGCTGGCCCGCCTGGGCCTCCTGGAGCCCCCGAGGTCTGCCAAGCAGCGTGACAACGAGCCGCCGCCGCTGCCTTTGTGTCGGGGGCTCCACCTCCACCTGCTGAGACGACCGCCGCGCCTGGCTCCACCTTCGCTGGCGGTGCGCTGGGGGCAGTGCCGTCAGGAGTCGCCTGCGGCGGCGGCTGGGCGCGCGGCTTCACCGCCTGGGCGAAGGCCGTGAACGCGTTGACCAGCTGGGGATCCGCTGCCGCTGCCTGGCCCATGGCCTCGAGGGCCAACTACAACCCGTTGAAAGACCCGTGCGCCTGGATGGCCGGGGCCTTGGACTCCCCCTCGCCCCGCGCCTTGCCGAGCCAACGCTTTCTGCTCCTCCTCTAGTTTAGCGAAGTCCTCGAGGCGCTGCGTGATGCTGACCTGTTCGTTCGCCACCTTCTCCTACTTCCGTTGTAGCTCCTGCTCCGACTCCATCCACTGCCTCGCACTTGAACTGCTCGAGGGCTAACTTGTAGCGATCCAGGGCCTTCTGCTCCTGCCCGAGCTCCTGCGTCATAGCTTGGGCCATCTGCATCGGCGTCTTCTCAGAGGCACGTTGGGCTCGGATATTATCCAGCACCGTCTGGAATGGCTTCGCATCCACTTTGGACATCTTCGCGGCTGCGTCTACCGCTGCCTGGATGTTCTGGACGACGGCGCGGTAGCCCGTGCCCTTGCCCTCTGGGGTGTCAACTGCTGCCTCCTTATGGACCTCCGACCTCCACGGGTAGCTCTCGCCCGCCGTCTGCTGTCGGCCCGTTGGACGCTCATTCGGGGAATATTTCTAGTGTTTACCACATTGCCAGCACCACTCCTTTGTCAGACTCACTGACGCAGCGCATGTACCGCACGTCCAAACATGGGCCGAGGGTTCTGTGGGGCGGTCCTTGTGTCCACCTCCTTGGCTAGCATGTGCGACGCCCTTGGTGTGGCCGTTCTTGTCGCCAGCCTTTCCCTTGCCTGTTTTGCCCATGTTGACGTTCGGTAGTCTCTCGAACTGCCCCCCGTGGTGCCGTCCGACCACTGTGAACTGTGAAGTACGCCTGGATGACCTTCCACGCCTGTTGGCGTTTCAGGCGGGCACGGCGGTGCCAGGCAGGTTCCTTGTCCTGCTTCGTGGGGCACGAGAGATGGCGGCACCAGCCGATCGCTGCGGCGGCTGGTGGCTAGGGGCGGCCGTCTAGGGGCGAGAAATCTGCCAGAAACGGCTCGAGTCCTTCCTCTATCTAGGATACCTGAAAGGCACCTTTTCTGTTGCCCTCGCTGCCCCCCCCAATTGTCGCCCCCCCATTTCGCGACGCCCAAGACCGACAACGTCGGGTTATCCTGGGGTTGGCGGGGTCACGGGCGGGCCCGATAACCTAAATGATCGCTGACCCCGAAAAAAAAAAGAAAAACTATATCCGTGTGGCTGGCCAGGGCAGCCCTGGTCTTGAGCAGGGGCCGACCGTCCCGGTATTCCTACTGGCCTACCACGACATGTACAACAGAATGCTAAGAACAAGCACGACGTTCTTTGAACAGCTACAATACAATGTGTCCAGAACGTTATACTAAAAATGCTGTAGAACAAGAAGCAGATGCATTAGAGCAAGACAGTCTCAGCCAGAAAGATTATCAGAACATGTCGTGCAAGCCACAAGAGGTTTTCAGAACATTATTAAAAGTGTCCCCAGTTTTTCGCTCCATGTTCGAGCCCCTGGGGCCCTCTGGTCCTCGTAAGAGGTGCTCTGGAGGCCGTGGGGGCCTCCTTGGAAATCTTGGGAGCACCTTTGATCAGGGGCACTTCTAGCAACACCTGATCTTTCGGTGGGCCTACTGGCAAGCCAGGACGCCTCGCCAAGGACTGATGGTCACCATCATCGCGACTGGCACCCACGCGATCGTCGGGCCCCGAGAGGGCGACATGGGGCTCAACACCATCGAGAACCCGAGCGTCAGGGGCGCGGCCGCGACGCCCAGGGTCAGCCCCACCATCAGGCCGGCCACGACGCCCACGCCGGCCCCGACTACGGCCAGCACTGGCAGAAGCATGGTACCTCGGGGGGCTACAAAAACAAAAACACTGCATACACCATTCCTGGCCAGGGTCATCCTGGGCCCTTGCATGGTGTATTTGTCCTCCTGGCCGAGGCCAAAAAGGTCTACGCACCTTCCTGGGCCCAAGGTGGCGCTGGCCAGGTGTGGTGGTGGTAAGAGGAACAAGCAGCATGAACATTGACTTTCGACGGTGCGCGCGGGCTTCTTTTCTTGGATCTACGCTGGACCCCCCTCCCTGGCGCGCGGAGCGCGACAGGGGCGGCGCCAGAGGCGCCGCCAGAGGGGTCCAGCCCAAATCCAAGAAATCCGCACGAACCGTCGAAAGTTCATGATCCTGCCGTTTTCTCCTATCCAAATAGTACCGCAGGCGACGATCTCGAGCGGCCCCATGCGAGCGCCCAGCACCTCCGGAGCCCAACCCTAGGTGGCGACATCCGAACCCTACCCCCACAACCATCGATTCTTCCGAACCGCTGCGAGGCGGTGGTAGGGTACGGATTTCGCCACGTGATCGAGAAATTCAGAAACCTACCCACGCCACCCATCGAGTTACCTGGGTCGTTAATCGGACAGGGTAGGGTTCGGATTTGGAGCCGGTCAGGGGGTCTGAACTGGATGGGGCCCCAGAAAATCGACCAAGAGGGGTGGACGAGACCAACTCCGTTCAAAACCTGTCCTCGGACCCCTCCCGGAGTCCATCTGGTGTAGTTCTTTGACCCGGATTCGTTTCCGACTGTCCTGAAGTGAAGTCCGGAAGTCCCCCAGAGGCAGAAAAAGGCAAACAACAAAAACAACCAAAAATAAAAAACAGCTCGAACCCAGAACCTCGAGCCTCGCCCCCCTTGCTGCTCTCCAGATGCGGTGCAACCTCAGACCTCCAGCAAGCATCAAGTTCGGACTTCGCGGCCGAAACTCGGGGGTGTCCAAAAGGGCGGCATCCAAGAGGGAGGTTCGCAAATCATGGCCAGAGGCACGTGCGCGGCCCAGGGGAAGCCAGAAGACGCAACGAAAGCAGAAGAGGGGACCATGACATCGGGGAGATATCATGGCCCCAGCCGTGATATCCTCACACCCCTAGTCATCACCTTCGCTGCCCCCGATCCCGTAGCGTGTTGACGTTGAGCTCAACACGTGGATTGAAAACGTGGGTCTGGCCCGAGCCAATACGCAGCGTGATAACACGGTTTTTTTGAACACGGTACGTGTTGCGCTTCAAAACTGGAGTGGCAGGGCAGCCCATCACCCCCCTCTTGGGACGCCCCCGACCGGAGCCTGGCACACCTACGGCGCCAGGCCCCGGCCGGGCCTGGCATCTGGCGCAGTGGCCCGGCTGTCGAGGGCGCGGGCGCCGCTCCCAGGCCCGGCCAGGGCCCGGCCTGGCCGGGTGTTTCCTCCCCCGAGGTGACGCATGGTGTTCCCATCGTGCGTGGGGGACCACACCTCAGAAACATGTTCGAGCATCCAGAGGAGTATCGAAACAGTGTCTGCCCGACACGCTGGCGAACTGTCGAACGAGTATCGACCCCCCGGGCCCGACACGAGTATCGCCTCCTGGTGCTCGAGATTCTCTCTGGTGGTCAAGGCTAAAGTAGGCTGGAACATCACAACCCTCAGGGGCAACGTCACGGGGGACCAGTTCAGGGGGAAACATCGAGCTGGAATCGGCGATACATCGCCGATAGAACAGCAACAGGCCCCCGATAGCACATCCACACGCTACTGGACGGGGAAGGCTATCAGGCCCCAGATCGGCGGTTTTGTATTTTTGGATTTCAGGCCTGATATCGCGCGTCGCGAAATTCAGCCTGCTACTCATTGACCTGGCTCTGACTAGACATATGGCATGTGACCGCGCAGCACTCTCAGCAGACATAGTGAAACTACATAACCTAGGAAGTCTGTCAAAATTATGGTGCAGCAGCGTGCGGACATTAGTGAATTTCTTCCAACACCCTGGCGGGGGCCCTGGTTGCCCCTGGGCGAGGATGAGGTAGCATGTTGCAGAAAACGCAAGACCAGGCTCATTCGAGGATACGAAGGATGAAGAGGAGGAGGAGGAGGAGGAGGAGGGAGGAGGAGGAGGAGGAGGAGGAGGGAGAACGAGGAGCAGGAGACGGAGGAAGGAAAAGGATGAGGAGGAGGAGGAGGAGAAGGGGGGAGAAGGAGGACGAGTAGGAAAAGGGCGGAGACGGAGGAGGAGAGGAGGAGGAGGAAGAAGAGGAGGAGGAGAAGGAGAAGGAGGAGGGGGAGGGAGGCGGAGGAAGAGGGTTTCCTCCTCCTCATCCTCCTCCTCCCTCGTCGCCGTTCTCCTCCTCCTCCTCCTCCTCCTCCTCCTCCTCCTCCTCCTCTGCCGCCTCGTCCTCCTCCTGTCCCTCATCTTCTTCCTCCTCCTCCTCCTCCTCCTCCGCCTCCGACCTCTCTTCCCCTCCCTCACCTCTTCCTCCCGCGCACGGGGCGGGTCGGGGCCGCCGGGTGGGCCTCCGAGGCGGGGGCGGCCGCCGCGCGCGCGGCCCACCCTTGCCCTTCTTTGTTCCTCGATGCTCGGATCCCAGACCAAAAGGAGGAGGGGGTAGTACCCCCTCGGTGCCAAGGGCAAGGAGAGGAAGGATGGAAGCACGGCTGAGGAGCAGGAGGAAAAGGAGAGACCCGACAGCAGAAGAGAGGAAAAGGGAGCAGGAAGCTGCCTTGGGGCCCTGGGACTGGGACCACTACCGAGCGCGGGAGGAGGAGAAGGAGGAGGGCGACAGCAGACGGACAGACAGGGACCGAGAAAGGAGCAGGCAACAGCAGACGCACAGGCGACGAGGCGAGAAGGGGGTGAAAGTGAGGGGCACCACCGGAAACTCGAAAAAGAAAACCTAAAATCATGAATCGAAAATCCGCGTTTGGAATAGGATGGTCTTGAAGAGTACGACGGTAATGATGAGACATAGCATAATTCAGACGATGTTGGAGGAGTGGGGGGGGGCGAGACGAGAAAGGTAAGGACGACTAGAAGGATGCTCAGAGGGTGCAGGGGGCTGAACAGTTCGCTGAGCCGCTGAGCCGCTGAACGGTTGAACGGCAGGAGGAGGAGGAGGAGGAAAGGAGAAGGAGGCTCCTTGAAGGAGGAGGCGAGGAAGAGGAGGAGGAAAAGGGCCAGAGCATCCCTAGCAGACGCCAGGCCGCCAGGCCCCAGGCTCAAGAGCGTGCGTGCGTCCGCACAGAAAGCATTGACTGTCCTCTTATTTCCTTCCTCTCTTCCTCCGCCTCCTCCTCTCCTCCTCCCCTTGACTATTCTTCTCCTCCTCCTCCTCCTCCTCCTCCTCCTCCTCCTCCTCCTCCTCTCCTCCCACTCCTCCACAAGCCATCTAGCCCCTGGCCTTGCACTGGCCAAGGCAGTAGATGAGGTACGAGCCTAGAGCATGAGAGCACATCGCATTGCCGATCAGCGGGCGAAGCGCAACTAAAGGCATAGACTCTGCAACACCTGCCCAGTAGCAGGGGAACGCATCTGAACCACTTGGCGGGCTAAAACAGTTGTCGCCCATCATTGCGAGCAACTCCTTCGCAGTGAAAGGAATGATAACACCATCTTCTGTGATCGTCACCATCCAAGCATTGTGAGTCGTGATCGTTGGCATTACTGGCCCCGGTGGCGCGTACTTCACGTCCTGAAGGAGGTCAGCTACGAAACAGCCGTCAAGCCCGCAGAACGCATCCCTCACAGTCATGTAGCGATCGAAACGCTCTCTCATGAATGGGCTAAGGTTGTCGCTGATGCTGATGTTGACGCGACTGTCGCCGAAATGCACACATCCACGGGACAGCAGGGAGCGGACGTACTCTTGGCGAGTGGCATCGTCATCCATGAAGAAAGCTGTCGGTTGCAAAACTCTTTGTTTTTTGAACACACCTCGGTAATCTTTGAAAGAACCATGGAACTCGAAGAGGGTCTTGCGCCAACCGAATGTGTAGCGACGCGGTCGGCGCATTGGCACCGACAGTTCCTCCGCACATATCTTGCCTGTGATCCCGTCCATCTCCAGGTACTTGATCAAATCCGTGTGGAGCGATTCTGGGGCCCCATCGGTGATCTCTAAGATTATGAAGTCGGGGTCCAGGTCTTTTACCTCATGCTTGAACCACAGGAAATCCTCCATGCGCGTGCCACTGGATCCCTCACGAGCTCCTCTGATGCTGAAATCCTGGCAACTGTGGCCTGCAACTGCAAGAACAAGCTTCCCTGTGCGGTCATGGCGAATGGGGCAGGCTCCTCTGCCGCATGCGAAGCACTCGGCGGCGCCACTCTCCTTCAAGAGCTCTCCCTTGAACGATTCGAGGTAGCGGTCCATCTCTTCGAACGCTTGTAACCGAGCATCATGTCCAACGCAGTGCAACAGCCTCCTCACATGGTCGACATGGACATCGCGAAAACGAGATTGGATGCTGCCAAACACGTGCTTGAAGATCCTCTCCGGGCCATCTTTCATATTGCTAAGCACGGTGCGCGCCGTTGGTTCGGAGTCGCACGCACTGTAAGCTGTGATAGCGTCAGGACTCGACGTGATGCCCTTCATCTGTAGAGCCCTGCTCAGATGCCTTGCAACTGTACCATCCGTTCCCTTGCCCGAGTAGTAGCTATGCAAGACCAGCGGACGAGAGTTCAGCAGCTCCGTCAACCTCCCAGCAGCACACTCATCTGCTGCGGTGACGTCATCGATGGCTTGCATGGGCCACTCCGCGTAGTCTTTTGTGGTGCGGAAGCCCTCGGACAGGAACAGGCTGGCCTCGGCAGCATCGATCGACCCTGTTCTGAATCGCTTGCTATCTGGAGCGTTAGATGGGCGCCTCACTAATGAACTCATTGCAAGTACACACTTGCTTGAACGTTGAGCCAGAAAAATGGCTATGGCAATGTTGACGATGATAATCACTCGGCCTGTACTTCCGAGCCTTCAGACTCTTACTCAGCCATCGCTCCTCAGCACCACTAGATGCTGAGCTCACGTCCCTGGTGCCTTCAGGCGCATTCGAAGTGTGTGTTCAATCGGATCTGTCGGACCAGGTTTTATCATTCGATGTGAAGTGTGCTACGTGTTCGTGCTTGTGATGTTTGTTTTTTGTTTGTGATGCTGCTTTGTTTGTGTTGTTTCGTGCTTGCGAAGCTGTTTCTTGTGATGTTTGTTTGGCATCAGGCGTTTACCCCTAATCTGTATTCCCAAGACGACCCACTAGACCCTTTTGAGTTTTATGAGTGCGAGTTGGTTCGGGCTTGTTTTTGGACATCATGTCGTTTTGGGCCCCATGAGATCTCCATCGCCGTCGTCGTTGCCACTAGCACTGCACATGCTGAAGGCTGCTTGGGCTCCCCGGTCCCTCGCGCGAGAGCGAGGCGTTGCTCCCCGTGCCCATCTGGTGGGTTGGTGGAGCGCTCACACATCCCAGCAGTAAAAAACATGTGAATGGCAGAGGCAGTGGCTCGCAACATCGAGCACTGACCTCATCCCGCGACGCCATCATATTGAAATTGACTGACGGCGCATGCGAATGAAACAAATAGGAGCCTGAGTTCATCGCAGAGTCTCTGATGCCGGGCAAACAAAAACAGCGTGATCAAGCGGGATGCTCACTTGCTGCTATCAGCCTGCTTGGCGGGCTCGGGAGTGGCGGCTGCCAATACGCTCCGAAAGAACCTCGTGGTGGCGCTGTTCGGCTGGCACGTCTCGATCTGGCGGAACATCTCTTCGAACGCTGTGTAGGACGCAGCCGAGTTCTCCACGAATGGCACCAAGTAGCCGTAGACGCCGCTAGTACCGACCGTCCGTTCGACGAAGAAGCTGCCCAGAGGGATGAACAACATCTGATTGGGTGCCAGCGCCCCACGGTAGACCCTCGCCTCAGACTGCGCAAGCAAGTCCAATTGTTCTTGAGATTGAATAGAATGAAGTACATCCAGCTGATGCTCGTGAAAGTCCTTGTCCGTCTGCTTGATCATGTCGGCCTTCTGGGCATAGTCGCCTAAGCTGCTGACGTCTATCAAGGTGAACTCCAGGGTCCCCGCCACCTGATACATCATGCCCGCCAGCCCTTGGCGCGACTGCCCCATGCCCACATACCCTGGGTTCTTGCCGTAGAAGGCGGCTTGGGAGCACGTCGTCTTCACCAAGTTGTCGACGCCGTCCTTCTTCACGTCCACGACGC